GGAGAGAGGGAGAGAGAGAGAGAGAGAGAGAAGGAGAGAGAGAATTTTGGGACACACAAGAGCTGAGGACCCTGGCAGTTTAATGTCCCTGAGATGTTGAGAACAGACAGGTCCATGGCAAAGACAGAGAAATGGTTTTGAAGTATTGCTCAGTACTGTAAAATAAATGCTTTCACCACCTCACTCCATAGCATGTGCTAATGTTTAATCACCGACGGGCACCACCTCTGGGCCACAGGAAGTCAGGGCTGTATGTCCTGAGCCAGCAGCAGGAGGGGGCATGGGCGGATTTGACGGGGAGGAGAAAGGCCTTCCGCTAGGCACACGGGCCCGTGGTGTGACGCACGTGACCACCGTGGAGCCGCCCACTTCCTCCACGGGCAGCGTGGTTTCATCACTGCCTGTCTCCATCTACCCTGCACGTTCTGCTACCCAGTGTCTGACGCAAGTGCTTCGTGGAGGAGGCAGAAAAGGCCTCAGGCCTTGGAACGCTCTAAGAGGAATTTATTTTATTTTACATACAATCAACTTCCTCTAGTTTTACCAGACTAAGCTTACCAGGGTAAGCCAGTCACATCCTGGGACACTGATCTGGGTAACGGGGACCCGTCTCCTGGAAGAGTTACAGCCAATGAGTTACTGCGCTAAATACAACCCTTTCGGAAATCCTTTCCTACCCTGGCATCGACATTTCACCCGGAATCACGAAGGGGGCCTTGCTGTCCCCAGGGTCCCAGCAGGATGCGAGCCCTGAGCCCAGCCCTGCCCTGCTCCCCCCCACCCTACTCCCACCCCGTTTTCAGCTGTCGGGGTCCCTCCAGGACGGGGCGACGGACAGAGAGGTGGGCTGGTGCGCCGTCCAGCCTCACCTCAGGACTCAGCACATGCAGGGGGGCCACTTCCTAGCTCGTGTTTGTTGTGAGGGATGCCCAGGCCACGTTCAAGCTGTTTAAAGGCAGCTTTGCGAGGAAGGCAGGTCCCTCCCAGACACCTGCGCCCGCCCTCCAGGGGGCTGACAGCCTCTGACAGGGCAGGAGTCCTGCCAGCGGAAGCCATGCGGAGGGCAGGGGACGCTATGTCCTCTGCTGTGACCGAGTGGGTGTTTAGAATCCCCACAGCCGTGTCCACATTAGAAAGCGTTTTCATAGCATGTACAATATCATCATCCAGTTTCTTTAACTTTGCTTCTCTTCGGAAAGTCACATGCAGCTAAAAGCTTTATCATTTCCAAACTTGTAGGTCGAATATTAAAATCTAAAGGTAGACGTTATTGTCTTGATAAATACAAACAACAGCAGGAAACTAGAGTTACCCGTATTGACCTTGGTTTTCAGCAGAACTGAGAGGAAGTAATATTTAGTGACACATGGTAGGAGTTAGGTCTTTAAATGAAAGTTTTACTCCAAGTTTACAACGTAGGGCTGTCTTATTTCTTTAGTAGTCACCCCAGGGTTAGCGCTGCCCCAGCGGAGCCGGTGGGGATGAACGCACATTTTAAACAAGAGCACGAGTCATGGATACGCAGCTCCGCGCTGCCCCCTCCCTGCGTTTTCCTGCTGCGAAACAATCTCTGCTCCTGGGGAAGAAGAGATTTCAACAGCCAATATCTCAGAGGCTGGAACTTGTGCCCCAAACCCTTAAAGTTACCTGCCTGCTTGTATTACAGGTACTGTCGTGTTGGCCGGGCTTATGTAGAGTCACTGTTTGTTTCGTGTCATGCTTTGTCACCCACTGATGAAAATGCTTCTGGCTAAAGCAATGAATTCAAAATACAGTGACTCCGTAGAAATGTTAATTAACCAGGACATGAGCAAAGTGTACAAAACTGTCACCAACTGAGGACAGCATCAAGTACTCTAACTGAAGGTGTCACCTCATTGGTGAGATACGTTCGTTCTCTTTTACATTCTTACACAGTCGTCCTCACATGACAAAACACCAGGGGAAACCATCTGAGGTGCCTCAGGTGTATCAGAAAATAAGTCCAAACCACATTTACACCCTATGGTTATTAGAAAGCACACACACGCACATCATGTTTGACATCATGCACATCATGTAATGATGGCAGAGGCTCTGGGTAAAAGTCACTTCAAGGTTGATAAGCAATGTGAAATAGTTTGAATCAAGCATTAGGACTTTTTAAAAATAACTGATTTAGGAGTTAATTAGGCAAACCCATAGAAAGTAGAAATTAAAAATCAGATGCCAGAGCCATGACACAAAAACTCAAAGTTGTCAGAAATTTGACGTGTGCTCAACCGTTTTAAAATCTATAGTTAAAAGGTGTGTCCTTACGTCGAATCCACGGGCCCCATCAGCGTCCCTCTGAGGACTGTGACAGGGAGGAAGACCAATGCAGACATGGCCTTGCCGGGTGTCTGACATCCACCGAACAAAACCCACTCCAACAGTGCCACGTGGCAACGCGTTTCATGTCCAGAGAGAAAGCGTTCAGGCAGCACAGCTGGCGATTCGTACCTGTTTTCTGTGGCCCGATGACAAGGAATTTCGGTAAGTGGTCGCACGTTTTCTCTCTGGACCAGATGTCCTTGTGCCGTTTGTCATCACACGGATTCTGCGGGAGGAAGAACAGCGAGACGTACTGTGCAACCCATGCATGGCTGCGTCCCGTGGGGCCGGTTCCAAAGGCAGGGCCACGCTCACGCCCGCCCTGGAGCTGATCACCAGGCCCTGTACCGCTCTGCCCGTCTGGCTCCCAGCGGTTTCCTCACACCACGGCGCCTTCCTCTACATCCCGTCCGTCCTGCCCTCGCCCTCGTCCCGTGCTCCAGCCGAGACACAGCCCTTTCCCTGGACGCGCTTTCCCGGGCAGCCTCAGCCTTCGCGTGTGAGCCTGGTTGGCACAGCTCCTGGAGGGCTGTGCCCGCCCTCTGTCCTGCTTCTGCTCCCTGTGTCTGGAGGGCCATCCCTGAACTCCGGACTCGGCCGGCTTTCCCGCTCACACTGTGCACTACTGCCTGCTGCCCCTGCTGGGCCGAGCTTTGGCCCGACCTGCCCCGGAAGCCGACAGCAGGAGCCTCCCCTCCCTCCTGCACTCTTTACCCACGTTTTAAATTGCGTGTGTGTCACTGCTGGACAGCGGTGGCGAGGAAAAGCCAGACCCAGCGTAGCCGTCATCGGTCCAGCCTCACCCCTATCTCATCCTTCTCCTCCTGTCCCGTCCCGTTCCAATCCACGTCAGTGACACACATGTATCACCCAAATCATGACGCTTCGGAGAAGTAAAAGGGCCCTTAAGTGAAAGTGATGCAGTTTTGAAATATCTATTGACTGACACATTGGTTTCATTGTGCTGGTAATGTAAATAATTATACTCAAAAATCATTTCCACAAATAAAATTCTTTTTGAAAAAGCATTTGTTGGGCATGACAACAATTATGATTTTTATCAAATATTTAAAATGATGTAAGGTGGCTAGTCATTTGCGGTTCATATTTATGGGCATTAATCAGACCTTTAGCCTCATCTTTCTCTAATACCACGTCACAGAGTTCCTCTGAAGAGCGATTGCTGTCAGTGTGATCTTACTATGTTTTACTTTTACATAAAATTGCCAGCAATCCTTTTCAGAGTTGCTTTGTGGTTAATAAACCTGAAATGTTGACACTTTCCATCAACTCTTCCCTACAGGCCAGCATTTTTTTAACGGGAATATTTTCTCTAGTGGGTGGGAGTAAGCTCACAATAAATTCTGTTAAAGGAAAATATTTTCAATTCTAATTTTTCCCATAATGAGATGCCAAAATATTAGAGACCAAATGCTTTCACGCTTACTTTTCATTTAGAGTGTCTTTTTTGACAAACATTTTTCAAGATAAATCTTGTCAAATAAGTTCTTTAATTACGATTCTTTTGACTATTTTGTCAAATACAGGTTCTGCAAAAGCATAGACTTCTCAATAGCATTTCATTCTAGTTCAGAATATAACTTTATCTAATTAAAAATAGATCTGTTAAGAAATGCTTACCACAGTTAAACTTCCAAAGTTCAATTAAACAATGCTAAATTAAAAACCTCTATTTCATTTGAATTCTCATTACTTAATTTGTTTAGTTTCCTCCCTTGTTTTGAAGCTTTTTTTTCCTTCTATTTTTTTTTTAGATGGCAAAAAGCACTGCAGGAAGACAATATTATTTAAATATATTTTTTCTTCTATTCTATTCCACTGATCGATATGTGTTTTTATGCCAACACCATACTGTTTTGATTTCTATAGCCTTGTAATATAGATAGTATAGTTTAATATCAGGTAGCATGATACCTCCAGCTTTGCCCTTCTTTCTCAGGGTTGCTGTGGCTATTTGGGGTCTTTTAATGGTTCTATATATATTTTAGGATTCTCTGTTCTGGTTCTGTGAAAAACGCCATTAGTATTTTGACAGGGATTGCACTGCATCTGTAGATTGCTTGTGTAGTGTGGGCATTTTAACTACGTTAATGCTTCCTATCCATGAGCACAGTATGTTTCCATTTATTTGTATCTTCTTCAATTTCTTCCTTCAATGTCTTATAATTTTCCAAGTACAGGTCTTTTACCTCCTTGGTTAAATTTATTCCTAAGTTTTTTATTTATTGATTTAATTTTGATGTAATTGTAAATGGGACTGTTTTGTTAATTTCTCTTTCTGATAGTTTGTTATTGGTGCATAAAAATGCAACTGATTTCTGAATATTAATTTTGTACCCTGGTACCTTACTGAATTCATTGATCAGTTCTAACAGTTTTTTGGTGGAGTCTTTGGGGTTCTCTCTCTCTATAGTATCATGTCATCTGCAAATAGTGACAGTTTTCCTTCTTCCTTTCCAATCTGGATGCCTTTGTTTATTCTTCTTGTCTGACTGCTGTGGCTAGGACTTCCAGTACTATGTTGAATAAAAGTGGTGAAAGTGGGCAGCCTTGTCTTGTTCCTGATTTTAAGGGGAACACTTTTAGCCTTTCCTCATTGAGCATGATGTTAGCTGTGGGTTTGTCATATATGGCCTTCATTATGTTAAGATATATTCCCTGTATTCCCACACTGCTGAGAGTTTTTATCATAAATGGATGCTGGATTTTGTCAAATGCTTTTTCTGCATCTATTGATATGATCATTTGACTTTTGTCCTTAATTTTGTTTATATGGTGTATCATGTTAATTGATTTGCAGATATTGAATCAACCTTGCATCCCAGGAATAAACCCCACTTCATTATAATGTATGGTCTTTTTAATGTGATGCTGAATTCAGATTGCTAGTATT